TCAGGAAGGAAGAATTTGTAGCCTTCCTTCCCTGAGGAGTTAAGTATCACACTGTTTTACAAGCATTCTTTGAAATGTATAACATTAAGATTTGACATGAATACCCTTAATTAACTTGGAGGTAGACAGACAGTTATTCACTTGCTTTTTGTAAGACACACACACACACACACATACATAAATGCTTTGTAAATTGTAAACTTGTACATATATATGTATATATAATGGCAGAGTTACAGAGAATGGGAGACTGGGAGACACAGAGAGAGACCTTACATCTGCTGGTTTACTCTCCAGATAGCCGCAGTGGACAACCCAAATCAAAGATACAAGCCAGGAGCTTCATTCAGCTCTACCTTGAGGATGGGAGGTCCCAAATACTTGAGCAATTGTCTGCTGCTTTCCCCGGGCCCTTAGTAGGGACCAATATCAGAAATAAAGCAGCAAAATCCACATAGCACTGGTATGAGATGCCAGCTTAAAGGCAGTAGCTTTACCTGCTACCCACAACAGTGATCCAGACGAACAATTATAATATTTGGTTTTACCATCAGATTTAATAACATGCAGGCTTTGAAAAAAATTCAATTCTTCTGTTACTGTTATATAACATTACTGGGAAAATTATGTCTTGGTGAATTTATGAAGTGTTACTAGTCAAGGTCTATATGTTCCAAAACACTCTTTCCCATATTGTATTCACCATTTGCTGCGTTCTTCCATTTTCTTCTCAAAGTTTTTTTTTAATAACCAAGCAAAGATTTTAGGATTCATTCATACATTAATTCAATAAATGTTTATTTTGCACTATAATGGCAGACTGATGTAATTAGAATATAGACTCTGTAGTTTGCAGTGCCAAGCAGGTTTATAAACTGATACCTTGTGAGAAAAATTATTTCACCCTTGTTCTCATGGGTAATGACAGAGGCGTTCCACAAATGTGGACCAGAACCTGAAAAACACTGTTGTCCTATTAAGGAATATGTCTCTCTTGAGAGCAGGAGTGGACCAGGGGTGAAATGTGATAAGCTGGGAAAGCAACATGTTCACATTTAAACTTTAAGGGAGTCCGTAGCTAGGAAAACTGAAGGAGATGGTAAGTGCTTGCAGTGCAGTGGGAATCACTAAGGTGTCATGTGATTAAGAATGTGAACTCTTGAGCCAGATTGATCCGGATTCATATTTGGACTTGTGTAACTTCTCTTTCAGACTCTTCTCTATAAACTAAGGAGTAGTAATCATAAGTTAATGTATGTGAAACGGTTAAGTAAATTTATGATCCTCACTACAATTACTATTGTAATAATCCTGTTTAAAAGGGAGGTTGGTACAAATTAAGACAAAGATAAGTAAAGGAGCCTCATGCATGACAAAACTGAGTGTAATTTCTGACTGGACATTTGAAGAAAATAGGACAAAGGGTTAACTATGTCAATCAATTCCATAACACTATATACTGTTGATGATGTTTTGTTGGGGCTTTTAACTGACTGGGATTTTACTCTGTTAGCTTTGCCTTCAGACCAGGGAAGGCCTCCCCAAGAAGCCGTTGAAGTTATCAGGACAATAAGATGCTGGACTCAATGCGAGTGTGTGCTTGCAATGAAGGAATCTCAGCTGAACTTGAACTGTGGTTATGCACCATGGGGGGAGGGTTGTGGGAGCAGCGGGGGAAATCCAAGCACCTATGGAACTGTATCACATAATACAATGTTATTAACAATTAAAAAAATAAAGACATAAAAAAAAAGAAAATGAAATGCAGATTTTGAGTGTCATCAGTTGAGTGAATTGTGAGTCCAGTTCCTGAAACAAGGAAGACAGCAAAGCAAACATTTATGTGTTTTGAGGTGGATGATAAGTTCCGTTTGAGATGTAATAAACTTAGATATCACAAAGATTCAAAAGGAAATATTCAGGAAGCGGCTGATACAGCGTAAAATCTGGAGATTTTGAACTTGGTTCACCATCTGTTACTTGAGTCCAGTATCTTAGGTGTTTTATGATGATTTCTGTAATTTATTTACAATTACTTATTACCACAGGAAACATAATTTTTGAAACATCCAGAAACAAATAGAGAAGCAGATACTTTCTTTCATCATCCAGATCACCCTTAGCTTCAATACTTACCTGTGTGTTACAGAATCACACTTAATTTACACATGTCTTAAGATTACTTATTTCCCAGGGCCCAGCGCTGTGGCTTAACAGCTAAAGTCCTTGCCTTGAACGTGCCGGGAATATGGGCGCCGGTTCTAATCCCAGCAGCTCCACTTCCCATCCAGCTCCCTGCTTGTGGCCTGGGAAAGCAGTCAGGAACAACCCAATGTCTTGGGACCCTGCACCTGCGTGGGAGACCTGGAAGTTCCTGACTCTTGGCTTCAGACTGGCACAGCACCGGCCATTGCAGTCACTTGGGGAGTGATTCATTGAGCGGAAGATCTTCCTCTCTGTATATCTGACTTTGCAATAAAAATAAATAAATTTCTAAAAAATTAAAAAAGATTAATTATTTCCCAAGAGAACCATCTGTTATTCATAAATATAAAGTTTCTGGAAAAGACAGCTTTCTGTTTTCCTCTGATGCTTGTGCAGCACAAATCTTTATGAAAATGACAATCAGAAGTCTGATCAATCTAACACTTCTGGCTGGAGAAAAGTGTTCCATTGATGTACAAGTTGTGTGTGTGTGTGTGTGTGTGTGTGTGTGTGTGTGTGTCTTTTAATTTATTTGTTTATTTTGGAAAGTCAGGTATACAGAGAAACAGACAGAAGGGAAGATGTTCCGTCCTGTGCATTGAGTTACTCCCCAAGTGGCTACAACAGCTAGTCAGAAGCCAGGAGTCTCTTTGGGTCTGCCATGCGGGTGCAGGGTCCCAAGGCTTTGGGCCATCCTCAACTGCTTTCCCAAGCTACAAGCAGGGAACTGGATGGGAAGCAGGATGGCCGGGATTAGAACTGGCACCCATATGGAATCCTAGCGCGTGCAAGGCAAGGACTTTAGCTGCTAGGCTACCACATTGGGCCAGGTTGTATTGTGTTTTAAAATTAGTGTTGTGTTACTGGGGGTGTGGGTGGTAGGGTAAATGTGCAAAGGTACACTTTGAAATGACCCAAAAACCATCTAACTCAACTTTCCAGGCTATTTCACTCTCATTCTGTTTGAGCTATTTTACAATCCTGTAAATTATAGAAAACTAATAGTAATGAAAAATTCTTATGCGTTGAAGTGGAAACTGTCTGATGAAATGTAATTGATTACTGTCCTATGTATATTGACCGATTTAACATCTATCTGTAAGGTTTTTGCAGTGTTCTTGATGTTTGTGTATTCTGTGAATGTATCTTTGAGCCAGCTGTTACATCTAACGCGTTTTCTTTCTAATGTGGCAATTAAAATCTATGTGGCATGTTCAGCCTAAACTGCTGTTATAAACATTTTTATATACTTTATATTCACATAATGTCTCTAGAAAAACTCTTAATAAGTTGATCGCTGTGAATGACTCTACAGGACAGAAGACAACAAAATTTGCTTTTCAGTGCATGGCTTTTTGAGTCTTTAGAATTTTGTGTCATATGCTTATCTTACCTGACCAAACAATTAATTTTAAAATTCCATCTGAATCTGTAAATCCAGTCATTAGCCATCTTTTATCCACTGAATTCACATCTGATAAAAGTGAGTTTCTGTAGAGATTTTTCTATCTAAACCAATTACTACTAGATGAGCAACTTAGACATCAATATGCTACTGCAAGCTTTGCTTATGTACTTATTAAAACAAAGTTTTAAATTTTACCTTTCAAGGTAGTCCTGCCTAATACTATAGACGAATTTTGGTCATATTAGCTACTGCTAATCTCTTAAGGAATCATATAGTTCTAGCATGACGTTAAGTGGCAGACTAGTTATCCTGTTTTGGATTTAAGTTTGCCTTACCTCTTTCCCAGCTGTGCCTATGCTATAATCTTTGTGTTTAATTACAGCTAGCATCTTGCCCTTGAAGTTAGTGATTTTCTCTCTTAGGTGTATATGAAATCACTTGGAGTGTTTTTTTAAAATCCAAGTGTCTAGACCAATTAAAGCATAAGACTGAGGGTGGAATACAGACGAGTATTTTTTAAAGCCACTCAAATGATGCTATTGTTGAGAAGCACTGCCTTGTACAAAAAATCTACTAGCTTGATACGATTTAATATGTAGTATCTCAGAAGCAAAAAACACTGAGGGTTCTGACCAAAAGATCTGCATAGGTGACGAAGAGGGTTCAAACAGAAAGGAGAGGCACCCCTTACTGAATGTTCTGTGCCTGTCTGTTTTTACCTATGCTTCCTCTGCAATGGGGCAGGCAGATCCTGGGTGTGATATAAAGGGGCATGTTGATGTGGCTGCAGTTTTTCAGGGTTTTTTTTCCATAGTAGTTAATTCAAATAAACTCTGAGTAAACATACTGAATTGGGCGTATTGATCGCATATTCTTCCCCTCATTCTCTGCCATTTGCGACATAATGCCAGTCTCCTGTTGGGTGTCATTTGTCTAATACCACTGCCACCATATGGTGGTATTACAGATACAAGTTTATAGTTGTCATGTACTGGACAGCTGGAAAAAACCACATACTATGCAACATCACCCCCTAAGTGCCTGTTTTAGTCAAAGTTCCTGAAACCTCATTGTTCTAACTCTTGTTAACAATCATCTCTATTAGATCCTGGAAATAGTCAGGGTTATAAAGAGATAAGGGGAAATGCATTTGCTTGTTTATTTCAAATTAATAAGGTGAAGAAATATCCGATTTCATGCTATCTTCCACCCTGAACATTATTTTCTAATGGGAAGTCCTGATTAATAACCTACTTGTATTTTACATTTTAAACTGTTTAATTTTTGTTGTTTTGGTCTTTTGAAACATGCAAATTGATATCATAACCTCTGCTGTGGTGGTCTGCCTTCATGTACTCATTGTATATCCCCCCTCCCTTTTGTATAGGAAGACAGAGGTGTCAATAACCCTATGCCTAACCGAGGAGGCAATGGATTAGCTCCTGGGGATGACAGATTCAAACCTGTGGTGCCATGGCCTCATGTTGAAGGAATAGAAGTGGACTTAGAGTCTATTAGAAGAAAAAACAAAGCTAAAAATGAACAAGAGCACCATGCTGGAGGAGATTCCCAGAAAGACATAATACAGAGGCAGTACCTCACATTTAAGCCTCAGACATTCACCTACCGTGATCCTGTGCTACGCCCAGGGGTCCTCGGTAACTTTGAACCCAAAGAACCTGAACCTCATGGAGTGGATGGTGGCCCTGGAGAAAAAGCCAAGCCATTGGTTTTGGGACCAGAATACAAACATGCAGTTCAAGCCAGCATTAAAGAGTTTGGATTTAACATGGTGGCAAGTGACATGATCTCCCTGGATCGCAGCGTCAATGACTTACGTCAAGAAGAGTAAGCATATATCCTCTTCTTTCTAAAATTGGGGCAACTACTGTTTTGGTAGTTATCTAGATTTAGTTGGAGGGTTAGAATGGAAACAAAGTTATGGCTTTATTTCAAGGAAATCAGAGGTCCTTTGACCAACAAAATGACCAGAAAAGGGAAGTCTCTCCTTGTATGCCGTCATATTAAAGGCAAGATGTAAAAAATTCTGGAGTCTTTTTTATCAGTGCTATTCCAGATGTGGTTACTGGACTGGCATTATCTGAATTCTTGTTACAAGTCTGCAGTGAAAAAATGAGCTTGCACTAGAACTGTAAGTCAACCACACTTCATATTAAATGCATTGTCTAGCTCAACTGACAGTTTTAAGCGGTAAAATTGTCTTGATATGTTGATTTCTATTCTGAAGCAAGCTCCTAATCTTGTTGGAGAACAATAGCAAACAGTAACATTGCACTGTCTCATATAATTTTCTCGATTTATGCTTCCTTTAGTTTTTTTGTCATTGCTGAAATTGGAAATTGAAACACTTGAGTATATGCAAAAGCATCATTCAGACATATAAAAACGTGGCCTAAATTTTCCAGTTTTTTGGTATAATTTTAAAATAAAGTATTTCTAGCACTTAACTTCTGATAGACAGCAATTACTGAATGAACTCAAAGCTTTTCTCTTTCAGCTTATTCAGTAATTGTTTTATTATTGTAGGACCTAAACAACTTTTATTAATATGAAAACTAATTAACTACCATTATAATACTCTCAAAATGTATTCCAGATTATATATTGTTAGCAAAATCTCAGGGCTGGCATAGAGGGCTAAGTTGTCATTTGCAGTGCTGGTTTCAGTTCTGACTGATCTACATCCACTCCTGCCCCTGGCTAGGACATCTGAGCAAGCTGCAGAGCATGGCCCATGTGGTTGGGCCTCTTGGCACCCTGCACCCATGAGGGAGGCCCTGGCTTCCAGCTTTGGTCTGGCCCAGCCACAGCCACTGTGGCCATTCAAGGAATGAACCAGTGGATGATAGTCTCTTTCTCTCTCTCCCTCTCTCTCCTGCCCTCCCTTCCTCCCTTCCTTCCTCCTTACCCCCATAACTCTGCTTTTGAGTTAAAATAAATCTTTTTATAAAAACGTTAATGCAACAGGTGCATGCTTCCTGGCTTCAGCCTGACACAGTATCAGTCACTGAACCTATTTGTGAGTGAGCCAGTAGATGGGCGATTTCTCTATCTCTCCCTCTTTCTCTGTCACCGTATTTTTCAAATAAGATAAATTTCTTTTGAAAAATGAAATTCAGCTAAATTTGCTTTTCAAATAAACAATGCAATAAACTTATCCAGAATATTACATGGAATATACTTAAAAGTTAACTAAATGTCCCCTATTTTATCTGATAACTCTCCACCACAAAAGTACTTTTGGTACTTTGATGGGTAGTATTCACATCACTATATGGGATTATGGTGGAGAGAAACTACTTACTGACCTTCTAATATGATAGAACTTACTAAAACTTGGGCAGATCTCACAGCTGAAATGTATAAGAGTTCGTACCTGTATGTTCAAAGTCTGAGGCTCAGAGCTGTGATTTCTTTGTACTTGCCATTAACTTCAGGTGGTTTGGTGTGAAGGCTCCTTCTTTGTCCACTGTAACTGAAATCTGTCTCTTTCTGGGTGGTGTTCCTCAACACTATTTTTTTAATCGAGGGAAGCCTAGCTGTATGCAAATGGAAATTTTATCACAAGGACTATTTTGCACATCAAATAAATATAAAATGCTAAAAAAAAAAAAACCCTAGCATTCAATGTAATAAATATGCTAGGCAAATCAAATTATGTCCAAAATTTAGAGCAGTGCGTGGAGACCCATCCTGTATGCCTCCCTCTCCTTCCCTCTTAGAAACTCTCATCAATGCTTCTTGTTTGTCCCTCCACAATACAGCTCACACTACTTCTGTTTCTTTCATCTGCATTGCCTCCACCTAAGTCCCAGTGACCATGATCTTTCCTAGGATTTTGCAAAGGGATTCTTACTGTTCATTTTTGTTCTTGCTTCTGACCCCTTTATAATTCAAACAGAAATCAATGTGTTCTTTTAGAAAGCCACATGTAGCCCATTGAAACCCATTCTCTCTGTGTATTTTCCCATTACCCTTAAAGAGAAATTTCAAACTCTGTATCTGCACCAGTATGCTGTGAACCTGCAAGTAAAGGTATGTCCTGTGCATTTCTGCTTCTGACCATGCTTGCTGGTCCACAGTCCTCTAGCTGGTTGGCCTTTCATGAGTTCCTTGCATGTTCTCATCTCTCACTGTGAATGCTTATCCTTCCCTCCTGTGGCTGGGTTCTTCCAATCCCTTGGGTCTCAGTGGAACCTTTGTAACAATGCTATCTAATTGCATAATTCTCTTCCCTAACTCTCACTACTGTTACAGCCCATTGCAATCATTCATTTATTCTTAAAAATTTTTATTTTAATGGTATTTACATAGTTGATCAGGATGGGAAGGGTGGAGGAATAGGGGAAAGTGGATGAGACCACAGTTTCCATACCTTTTCACTTTTTCCTGTATCTGAAAGAAGAGAGGATGTAAGGGAAGAAGCTGCATCAGTGTCCGAAACCTTACTAACAAGAGATAGGAAATGCCACACAGTGTCATCTCATGGTCCCCAGTATGTAGAATGCCCTAGGGTTCAGTTTGAGTGGTTCTGAAATTTTTGAAATGCTGTCTATTTCACCAATCTATGAATCAAGAAATTCTTCCAAGGTCCATTGGCTGACACAGTCCATCTCAGAGTCCCAGTTAGTAAAGATATTTGCTGCCAGCGCTTGGCTGAGGTAGTTGATCAATTTATTCTGTCCTCCTTCCTCTGTTATGCTACAAGATGTCCTCTGTAGGCTCCAGTACACTGTGACATACTCATGTGCATCTGGGTATGCCATCCACTGCTATGTCTAAGTCACTGAGGAGGGCCAGCTCTGACACTTGCAATCCACGGACAGACCACAGATCCTGCAATTCTCCCCACGGTTGGAGTTCTGAGGCCAGCAATTCAGTGAGGGGATCCCCAAAGAAACCTTGTCTGAGGTGATCCCAGACTTGACACTTGTGTGTTCTTGCCAAGACAGGGTCTGGCTCAGTTTGTCACCCACATCAGCCTAGGAACACATTGGTACTTGCAATTGCTGGGTCAATTCTGTGTCCATCCCCATCTCCTAGGCAACCCAGCAGATGCTGCAGCCCAGTTCAGCCCAGCCCAATACACACTCAGCCCTGCAGTGGTGGGAAACTGCAGTCTACTCGATGCAAACCCCAGTAAGCCCCACCAGGCTGGCACCGAGCCCTGATTCCTGTTGTTGTCAGTATGTGCAACAGCTGTCCCATATCCAGTTCAGCTCTTGTATATGTCAATGGGCACTGGAGCCTATCTCAACCCAGCCAACCCCAGTATCCAGCCTACAAATGCACTGGTGGGTGCTCCCACCTGTCTAGCCAGGCCTTCCCCCGTTCCTGGTTCTCATGCTCATCAGTGGAAGATGCAGCCCATCAGAGAGTTGCCCACAGTTTCCCTAATGGGCCCACTCCCAGTCCTGGATATTGTACTTTCCATGTGGTTCTGCAATCTAGCTTGACAGGATTTGTCCCCAGTCCCAGCACTTGCCAGCTGATGCTGGCAGCAAAGTCCAACTGGCCCACACCCACTCTGTCTTATGCATGAACCAGTGGGTTAGCCCAGCCTGGCTCTCCTCCCAAGCCAGCCCACATGCAGGCCATGATGCATTGTAGCCTTACCTGGCATGGTCTATCCCAAATCCCAGTTCTCATGCTCATCAGTGGTGACAAAGGCACAGCAGGGGAACCCCCCACACACAACCTGGTTACCAGCCTAGAACCCCTCACCCTGGGGCCCACATTGACTGGTGTGTGATATGGCGTAGCCTAGTGTGACCCTCCTGAGATATTTGCCAATAAGTGGTACAACCTAGCTCAGCCCAGCCAGCCCTGAGTCCTGGCCTTAGAATGAACTGGCTGGTGTTATGGCCCACGCTGGCCTTCCCACACCCTATCTTGCTTCTCATGTCTGCCAGTGGGTAGTGCTATGGATCTGCCCAACCTGGCAGCCTCCAGACCTGACCCACACCTATGCTGGCTGGTGTTGTAACCTGACTTGGTCTGAACCGCCCCTAGCCTTGGTTCCTGCAGACACTGCATCCTGACAGAGAAGTTCCCCAAGCATCTTCATCAGGTCTCCTCCGAGTGGCAGATCTCATGCACACCAGTGGGTCCTTGGCCCAGCACAGCCTCGTCCACCTCCTGCTGTGGCAGGAACAATGTACTTGCCCAGCTGGCCCACATCCATTGCAGTTCTTATTGTTGGGTGTTACAGCCCAGCCACACCTGGTCCACACCCAGACTCAGCTCTCTCATGGTTCAACCGCAGCCAAGACCTTGCCCAGCCTGTCCTGTACCCTCCACAGCTGTCGTGAGCACCAGTGGGTGCTGGGATCTAGCCCAGCCTGGCACACCTCAGCCCCAGGTCACATTCATGCAGAGGGACACTGCAGCCATGTACAGCCCAGATCACCCATGGTAACCACAACTCAGCCAAGGCATCCCCTTAGCTCCCCAGTTAGACCTGTTCCCACCCACAGGTCTATTTTGTGTTTCAGTGTTGCTCTGACCCAGCTCAGCATATCCCATCCTCAATCTGGGCCATTGCCATTGCCATTGGATGCTGCAGCTTAGCCTAGCCTGTGCCTGCCTCCCCACCTCAGCCTCAACTCTGGCTGGCTGGTGCTACAGCCTAGCCTAGCCTAGCCTTGCTACAATCTGCTCCTATCCCTGCCTCATGCAAACCAATAGGTGTGATAACCTGGCTTGGCATGAGCTGCACTCCAGCCAGGCTCCTGCACAAGCCAATGGGCTAACATTGGCCTGGCCTTGCCCAGTCCATCCCACTCCAGAATTAACCCACACACTTGCCGACGGATGAAACTGCCTTG